TATTTTATTTTTAAATATTTTATTTATAATTTTATAAAATATTCCAATTGAAATTGCAATTTAATGAGGACTTGTATAAAATGATATCAATTGATAATACTATAAAAAATCTAAATATAAATCAAAATAAATTATCGCCATTTTTTAAATATCTTCTTTACTTGAAATAGTCAATAAATAAAATAATGAAATAATGTTTCTTAAGGAGATAATAGAATTGTTATATAGAAATATATGTTACAATAATATATCTTTAATCAAATGAACGTTTGAATTATAAAATTACCAAAAAGATATTTTTTATAAAATTACCAAAAAAGATAAATTTTCTAGTTAAAAGTACTTATTGAAAAATATTAATAACAGTAATCAATTAATGCATTTAAAGAAGATAGTGAAAGTTGAATGGAAAGTGGAGCCCACTTGAAGAATTCAATAGCTTAGGGCCATGCTAGTTTTGATTTTTTCTGGCATTAAGAACCCACGACAAAGCTTTTGAGCCTAATATACAAGCAAACAATGCAACGATATATTTGAAGTGACCATGATGCCCTTGGTCGACCTCCTTTTCTCTTTTTTATACAATAGAAAAAAAATCTCTTATTTTGAATAGAATCTAAAAAGTTAGAAAATAATTTATAGTGGATCGTATTAGAGGGTGTTTGAATTGAGTTTTAAATTGGTCAAATCAACTTTTAAACTCTTTTTAGCCTTTTTCAATGTTTGACAAAGTTAAAAAGTGCTTAAAATATGTTAAAAGCAAAAAAGCAATAAGTTATGTTGGTTTAAAAGTTATTTATGTTGATAAGCTAATCCAAACGGGCTCTTAGACGGAGTTGAATCTCATTGATATTAGGGACATTACTATTTAACTGGACATTCTTAATTATGTAAAATATGGAGCAATTTATGCAAAACACCCATTGCGATTAAACTAATTATCCTTCTTTACCCATTTGAAAATTAGTTACAATATATACCTACCCAATTAAAACTAATTACCCAACATGCCTAACCATCCCATATTTCTTACCCATTTGGCTTAACATAGCTTGATTTAGCTTGGATTAGTTTGGTTTGGTTTGGATTGAATTGGCTTGGCTTTACTTGATTGGTTTGACTTGACTTAGTTTGGTGTGAATTGGCCTGGCTTGGTTTTAGTAGCTTAGTTTTACTTTATTTGGTTGGAAGGGCCGGACATTAAAAAAAAAAGAAAAAAACTACCCTCTATAGCCCCTCAAATTTTTAATACCTCATGTTTTTACCCACTTACACGAAATGGCTCTTCGGCCCAAACTTATTGCATATAATAACTCGAAATATTTATTTTGTATACTGACAGTCTATTTTGCATATTTTTTGTATAGTAACAGTCTATTTTATATATTTTTGTATAATGACAGCCTATTTTGTATATTTTGTGTATAGTGACAGTCTATTTTGTATAGTGACAATCTATTTTGCATAGTCACAATCTATTGTATAGAAATTATATAGTGACAGTCTATTTAGTATATATTTTTTATAGTGATGGTATATTGTATATATTTTGTATAACGACAGTCTATTTAGTATATTTTTGCATATATTTTGTATAGTGATAATCTATTGTATATAAATTGTACAGTAATAGTCTATTTTGTATATTTTTTGTATAGTGACAGTCTATTTTGTAGTATATACCTTCCACCACATTCATGCCTTGTACACTACCACTTACAAGACATAATTGAAAAATCAAATGACCAATTGCATAACTGAATTTAAAAGTTATAACAAGAATTGTATTCTTCTTTTCATAAAATTCCTTTTCTTTCTAATTTGATGAAACCATGTAAGCAAAAAAAAATTACAGATTGTCAAGAAAATAATGGAAATAATTGTTTGGTCCCTCGCAAAATTTGCCAATTGGCAACATTGGTGATTGATGTAATTCTCCTTAATTCATACTTCCAATGTTTTCAGTGAGAGTATTATTTATTGACACTAAACCCCATAATTCTTACAAATGGAAAATAATATAAATAGTTATACGTGTCCTCTGGCTAATTGTCGTGCTTCACGATTAAACAAACAAATAAAAAGAGCAAATTTATGAAAAATAGAACTCTCCAGCTACTTGTTTCACTGAATAGCAGAACAAGCCTCGAGATTTCACTAGAAAATTCATAACCCCCTAAGATATTTTTCTGCAAGATTTTACCTTTAACCAATAAAACAAACATCTTTATAATCCTCAAATAAAACTACGTCTTCCACCCCCTTCTGCTCCGATCATTTTGGTGGTCATTCTTATTTCGTGGGATATTTGTAATTTTTGGGGAAAATAGGAAATTTATTGAAGAAAAACATGTTTTTTCTTATAAATGTTCTTACTCCATTTGATGAGAAAACATGGGAAAGAGAAAGGACATTAAATCCTTTGTTTGTCAATATCGGTGGACAGTTGTCCATTCCGACAAACTCCAGTTTGTCAATTTCGGTGGCTAGCCGCTGGATTATTTTTGGGTTATAAAATGTATATTATAATTTTTGGCTACTAGATATTTTAAGTTTGACCCGAGTGATTATAAATGAAATTTGCTCTTAAAAAAATAGGTAGAGAAAAAACTTTATGGGTAGAGGCGGATAAATAGTTTGCTTTGGGTGGATATTTACAAAAGATCCCCTAAAATATGAGCAAAAGTAGGGGTGGGCGTCACTCGGTTCGGTCGGTTATTATGAAAGTACGGTTCGGTTTATCGTTTTTCGGTTTTGTAATATTAATAACCAAATCAAATCAAAGTATTTACGTTTCGGTGCGATTTTGTCAAAGTTCGGTTCGGTTATTTTCGGTTTAATTTTTCGGTTATTAACGGTTCAAGATTTTTATATCTTGGATTTACTTCCAATGGTCATAAACTTCCAGTGTTTTTTGCATAATATAAAAACTAGAAAGTGGTCATAAACTTCTAGTGATTTTTGCATAATATAAAAATTGGGCAGTGGGCAATGTGCATAACGTTGACATAATCTTCCAGTAATTTTTGCATCTTGAGCCACAAGGCAGTGGGCATAACGTTGTAGCATCCAAACATGAACAAAATAACTATTAACCTTTCAAGTCCACTAGCAACATGAACAAAATAACAACTAACTTCTGGCAGCATCCACTAGCAGGATTTCACAATATAACAATTAACCTTTCAAGTCCAAACAAGCTAGCAATATATGAGGATTTCACAAACAAGCTAACATTTCAAGTTCAAACAGAACACAGCAGCTACCAAAGTAGCAAAATACCGCACAGTTCAGCAGTGGCAACTGGAAAAATAGTCCAAAACAGTTTAACACAGATGGACTCATTCCATTAACACTCCAGAAAAGAAACAGAAAATTGCTCAGAGATTAATGAAACCCATCAAGTCCATGTTACTATTTAACAAAATAATGTATCATAGAAAGGGATTAATAGAAGAAAGTTACATGTTGACTTTAACTTAGCTGAATAATCAACATAAAAAATTTCCACCAAAATCGAATGAGGTGAGGAACAGAGGAAGAAAACTGAAAATGAACTCATAACTTAGAAGAAGTCGCACTAACCTGAGGAAGAAGGCAATAGTAGCATAGAGGTGAAAGGACTAGAGGAACCCTAAATCTAATTTTTTATTTAAGCTTGGGAACGTATCAGTAAGACTAAGTCTTATGTTTGGGTAAATTGGGTAGGCTTCAAATGGGTATTGCACTATTGGGCTTCAACCTTCAAATGGGTAATAAGTTTTGGACTCTCAAAAGAACCCATATGCTCAAATCTCACCGAAAAATCAAAATTCACGGTTCGACCGGTATTATGCCCACCCCTAAGCAAAAGAACGAAAGACAAGGTACTATATAGCTGATTTTAAAAGCACTATTTAAACTTTAGCCAGTTATCTATAACTTATCTATAGTTTAGTCTTACTC